GGGGGCGTGCGAACCACTATGCATCGTCTGCCGTCACGTCGTCCATTTTGGATATCACCTTATGCGTCAGCGAGTGCAATGTGTATCTGTTGTCTCGACAAGCCATCTCGCGAATTGCTCTGCCCTTTTGCTTCAAAGGGGCACATGTGAAAAAAGAGCAGATCTGGCTGGAGGGTCAATGACGACGAGAAGGACTTTGAAGTTATCGTAAGTCTGTTCCCGTGCCCGCAGGCGAGGCTGCCCCGCCCTGCACGGCACGCTTGGAACTAAGTAAGGAGCCGTACTGTGGTACATGTACGGTCGTCTCGCTAACCACCGCTAACCACCCACAAGCTGTGCATCATGCCATGGCCCTTTTGATCCAATGAGTTGGGATGTGCCCCCATCCTCACCTCTCCTTCGCACCATTTTGGCCCATTCAAGTCATTGCAAATGTCAAAGTTGCCCCCGTGCTCCAGTTGACAGGAACTGCCGTTTAAATCACATCCTTGCTGACTTAAAAGCATAGCTGCCTAAATGCGGTAAGGCCGGGTTGAGTGCCACTGGAGAATCTCTTGCCGCCTTAAGCGTCAACTCACATGTTGCTCTCCTTGGTCCTGTCCTTCGCGGCCTTTCCTGTCGAGCGGTGTCGAGCGGCACCAGGTGGCCTCCATCTCTTTGATACTTACTCCACACTGGGACTCCCGAGCAACCTTTATTAGCCCGGGCCTGCGTTAAGCACCTATGGGCTCAGTACGACGGCACACATGCCTTGCACCATCTCCCCAGTGTCCCCGGTTTTGAGCTGTTAGAATGGCCGGGACCGACTGAACGTCACAGTCCGCCGCCAAAGCTGCTGCGATAGGTAGATAAGCGTGTCTGGCCCCTCTCATGGCTCGAGGAAATATCACGACATTACAGATATACCACTTGTGTGTCTTGAATCCCCCTTTAGGTTGTAGGAGCTGGGAAAGGAGAAGCATAGCAGTGTGGATTCTTTCGGACACTTCCATCTCTTGAACCCTGCCTTTCTACCTCCTCTGCGCCGGTGTTATCCTTGACGGGTTGCTCACTCTAAGCAAAGACGCTCACATCTACCTCTAGACCTCATACTGTCACCCTACGAAAGAAACAGCCATACTATACCCATCCCATATCCCCCGACGCACCTTCAACATCCCGCTTCAGGCGTCTCCCCGGCCCCTCTGGAAGTATCTAGCGAAAATATTTCCGGGAGAGTTGTGGCCGCGAATAGAACCACCGGGGCATCACGAGTACCTGGTACCTCTCCAGTGACATACACACACCCTTCTATATACCCCAGAATAGAAGGTCCGTGAGTCTGTGGATGAGTACTTGCTGGCTCGTCAATTCTTCCTTTCCGTTCTTGGTCTCCCTCAGCAGAGCCTCAAACTCCCCTGCTGCGTGATCAATCCCCATTCCGTTGATAAGGGCGGCTGGTTACCGTGAACGTTGGATTTGTCCTATATCCAACTGAACTTCCTCACAATCACGCTTCCGCTCCACCACTGGCTCTCAATACATATATTGCCTATCGTTACACAGCGACTCTATATGTTCTCACACTTATAGGCAGCTTGCCCATGTCTTACACGTACTCACAACGTGAATGAGCATGACCACTGTACTGCAAGATGAGTTCCTCCAGAAAATCCAGCACAAACTTTCCAGAGCCGGAGTGGATACTGGATGAGGGAAGTGGACAATATTACATAGTATATACAGATGAGAATGGTAAGTCTACATGTTTCAGCACTTTCGTATCGCCTCGCGCTCATTGGACAGTTACTTACCGCACTCTCATCTGATAGGAGTGCGACAGACGCAATGGGCGAATGAGTTGGAGACTCCTCGAACTGATACTGCTCATACCGAGCCCTGGTACGAGGCTGATCCCACCGACGAGGACTATCTTGATGATGGGACTCCGGGCTATACATATGCTGCGTCCCAAGGTTACCCTGTGTCTGAAGGTATGGCTATTCCGTGCTGATCAAAATCAGTTGCTGATGATGTTGTGACAGAAGCAGCGGCGGCCTACGAGGAAGATGCGACCGGCCAAGACATAGCAGCCGCTGTGGAAACCTTGGCTTTGGACGAAGCGGAGGAGACGGAGAGTCACCCTCATCACCGAGAATCCCATCCTGCCACTGGATCATCCTCAAAAAGCAAGGCCAGTGAGAAGAAGTCCTCCAGGCGTGATGAGAAGAAGCCCTCGTCGTCGAAAACCAAGAAGGAAGGCAAAGGCAGCAGTGACAAAAAGGGGAAAGGGAAGGGAAAGGAGAAGGAGACACGCTCCCAAGACGAACCACTGGAGCCCTTCTATGAACAAAAGCAGCAAGCTCAGCAGCAGGCCCAGCAACAGCAACATCGTGGTTAGCTATTCCTGACCGAGGCCTTGTCCCTTACCACCTCGGTCTAACAGAGATGCAGCACATCGCTCAAAACGATCACACGGGCATCAAGCTGCACCGACAGGCGGTACTGGAGGCGCCACTCAAGACGATACCCAACCTGTCGATGCGGGATATGGTGCAACGTCTGCCGGAAGTGTTGACTCAGATATCCTATATTATGAACCTGCCGGTGGACAAGATGCAAGGGGGGCATATTATGAAGAGGAAATTCCGCAGGACCAGAGTACGCCCTCTTTTCGTCCTATGTTTGGCTCACCGATATTCTAACTAGATATCAGTTGAGGTTCCCGACGAAGTCAACGATCCCGATATTCCCACCGACGCAGGTTACGCTAGCGGGTTTCTTCCAGAAGTGGACGATGAAAGCAACGACGATGCCCTCAGTCGAGCGATGACGGCAAGTCGCAAAGCCTACGAGGGATCTGTCAGCTATGACGAAAGCCATCCAGGTTATACCCAACCAGAAGCGTCGTACGCTCGAGAGGGTACAGCACCCATTTTGACCTAAATGGCCTTTGGCTGACATCGCGGACAGCAGATTACGAGCCACTACAAGAGGAAGAAGATGACGGCAGCGTAACTCCGACGATGGATCACCCTAGACTAGAGCCGGACATGATCATCCGCGGCACGCAGGGGAAGTATGAGGATCTCGATGCTCGTTAGTGACCTTTAACCCCTAGTGATGCTTGTTGCCAATGGCCTGGCACGCGAGTCCTGCTAGGTCTGATAGCTGACACACGAAATTCAAGGTTACTGCGTAGAATCATCTCATAAGTTCCAACCAGGCGAGGTGAGTTGCCCTCGCGAGATGCCGCAACCGCCGGACTTGGCTCGAGGAACTCGGAAGCGGATTTTGAAGCACGCAAAGCATCACTAACAAGAAAAATCAGGTCTTCAAAATCCTCTGGTCGGAACCGCAGGGACAATCAACACGCCATAACTCCACCAGCCGGGTGAATCTCGAAACATACACTGAGAAGATACAACTTGAGAACGACTGGGGCGAGCCATTCTACGTCGGCTTCCGGCGCTTCATTGTTGTGGCGAATGACGAGGGCCACTGCACCTGCATGTACGTGCTGCTTGAACCGTACGCCCGCTTGATGACGTTTGACAGGTATACTAACGAAAGACTTCAGCCCAATCCTCACATACATTCGACAAGGGTGCAAAAAGAAAGGAGCGAAACCCGCAAAGCATGGCATTATTCACGAGTTCGGTACCAAGCCACGACCGCTTGAAGGCGAGCCGCCGTTGGGCTTCAAGCCCATCCGCCTGGAAATCAAAGCCGCCGGCGAAAGGCTTGCACGGGAATCCCGTGTCAACTACTCGAAACTGGTCACTGTGGAGCACAACGTGAAGGTCTTCTTCATTGGCAACATCCAACCCGATGATTTTGATAATGTTGTCCCCCATGCCGTCGATACGTGCTGGCAGGGGAAGATACGTAAGAGGGTCAAAAAAGGGCTTGCAAACGTACCCAGGCACTGACGATCTCAACAACCGGCACACCGAATCTTGACGGCGGCACAAGACTGCCTACCCGTCAACTACGACGTTTTCTGGTCTCCCCGGTCATCGGGGAGACCGCTTATCACGACACTCCGTTAGGAGAAGCTACCTTTGCATCATTGGTGCTTCTGCAAGGAAGCAATGATTATATACGTTTAGAGTCTGTGGCGACGAAGTCTACCATGACGACCAGCCCAGAACGAAACTGGATTCACTGAGCGAACGAAGGCATTTCGCCTCGTTCTGAACCTCATCACGACTTTAGCTATCATTTGCTACGTTTTCTGCCCCTATTCTTTTGTCACCAGTCTTTCAAATTTCATCTTTTGTGCCTTGCTAAACCGGGGGTAAGCTAGGCAAGTCAGGAAATATTTTCAGACTGGAAACCCAAGAACACTATTCTGAGCCGCCTGAGCACGACGTCATGACTATCTTCTGCACAGCGGAGTTACTGTACTCTTTTTGACAGACTGCAAGCATTTGGAAAGGGGTTCTTTTGGCGATTTCTGCCCCTGATGACTTACGAATACTGTTTATCGCTGTCGCTCTTATCGCCACAGTTGCCATAGTATTATTCAATATACTCCTTACTGAAACTCCACGCTTGTGTGCTTGTCTCTTGACATCAACCCTCACTCTTTGATAGACACCCACTTCTGCCTTGCAGTCTTCGACGGCTGGGATGGCTGTCTCCTGCGACTCTGCGACGAGGACGTCAATTGGCCAGAAGAGATCTGGATCGTCTGAACCCGAATTAAGGGTGCTTGCGCCAACAGCATGCCCGGATATCGCTGCCTTCAACACACTGTCAAGGGCAGTTCGCATGGTGCTCTACTCAGCTCAGGTCCAGGTCATTCCAAGATCCCAAGCCCGTCGGCTCAACATCAGAGCAAGCAATACGAGTGGAACGTGACCACTTCACAGTTCGCTCTCGCACTAAGACAACGCCGCAATCTCAGAAAAAAATTCACAGGTTTACTCCACAACCCCATCTTCCAAGCATCATCTACCCACTTGGCTGCCCTGGCAAACATCCGAACAATGGATCATTCGCCTATGCAAGGAACAGGTTCCGTGGTCAAGTGGTTACGACTTATCATTGTGGTTCTCTTCTACTCCCTGATACAACCCGTGTTCGATTCACGGCGGAGCCAGCCCACCTTCGTGTTGGGATCTCGATAAGATCGAGGCACTGTCTTTTTTGCTATTTGCGGTTGAGGAGGTCCTCCCTTATCAGTGATTGGTAGCAAATTCAAGCTTCACATGGGAAGTCCAGACGGCAATGGGCACGAGAGGAGAGTGCGGCCGATGTCGTTATGGAGATGTCGACAAGGCTATCTTCTGATACCTGCATTGTATGTTTCTGCCCTGCATTGAGGATTCATTCCTTGCAATGGCCGAAGACAGGAATATTACGCCAAAGACTTCAAACTTAAACTACTTGAGCACTGAGGCCGTAAATCCAGGCGAGGTACTACAGTCTACTGTTATGGAGTGCCTTGCGATCCTTGGGAGTGATGGACAATCGAGCATGAGAAAACTCGGCTGTATGCCGCATTATGACCATGTCAGATGAGGACTATGGGTTGACCGTCTTGTAACGACGGAATATATATGAAAATTGGTATCATCCGCAAAGCATCGCTCGCACGCCAGACACAAATCCACAGTAACGCTTGGTTTAATGAAACAAGAGAGGACATGTCAGGTCTAGCAAAGCAGCCACGCCCAATCCACGGCTCCTCTCAACCACCATTATTATCATAATGCATTTCCCCTCCGCGCATCCTCCTCAGTCAAACCCCCGACGGTCCCAGTCCGGGACGAACCTCCCGTCCCCGTCCTCCTAAGTGACGGATGTCTCCCGTAGCCGGGATGATGCAGCACCGGCGCCTGCGGGGCGGCAGGCATCTTGTGCGCGGAGCGGTCGCTCCCACCGCCGCTGGAAGGGACCTCGTACATCTCGTACGCTTCGTCTTCATCGCTGCTGCGGCTCTTGCCCTTGGCCGGTGAGGATGATGACGATGACTCGGTCTGGTATGTGCGGTAAGGTTGGCTGAGGTCACCCGCCAGCGACCCTCCGTAGGGATTGTTGCTTGCGAACTGTGGGTCTGACTTCTTGGACCGAAGGCTGGTAGTGTCTAGCTGCGGATTTGATGGTTTTGAGCGGAGGCTTGCTTCGTCGCCGCCAAGAGCTAGTCCGATGCCAACTTCGGTTAGAGCTTGCTCCTCGCGCTCGTGTTGCATTTGCATGAGCTTCTCCTGCGTGGAGGTAGGCCATTGCGTAAATGCTGGGGGATGGGGTTGCTGTTGTTGCAGCTGTCGGTGCTGATGTTGATACTGCCGCTGTTGCTCCTCTTGTTGGTGCCTGATCATCTCGTCCTGAGCCCGCATATATGCGAGCTCTTCCTCTTGGACTTGGGTCAGCTTTTGCGGGCTGAGTGTCGGCCAGTTCCTCATGGCAGGGCCATCGATCGCGCTGACAGGACTGTTGTATGTGCTCGAGTAAGGACTAAAATACCGGCCCAGGCTTCGGTCCGTCGATGCTTCCGTGGCAGCGCTGACGGGAGTGTCGTCCCAGCCGCGCAGAGGCTTCTGGCTGGCGGGTGTCTCTAGCATATCAGATCCGCCGTGTCGCGTTTTGGGGTGCGGCCAGCCTGCTTCGGCGTGGCGTTTCTCAAGGTCACGAAGGAACCTCCTCCTCCGCCGTTTGCCATTCCAGATAACGCAGCAGCCAGCGGTGGCCAGGAGGACGATTATGCCGGCGGCGGCGATGCCAACTCGCGCACCGAGCGGCACAGCCGTGCTATCCGGCGTATAGGTATATAAAGGAGCCTGGGTCGGGGTGGTGACATTCATGGGCCTTGTGGAGAAAGGATCACCGGCAACGGAGATCGTTTGCCCTGGTGCTGGCTTTTGGAGACATGTCGCGTTGAGCATCACCACGAAGTTGTTTAGATAGTGCATGTCACCAGCCAGAAGGCAGGCACTGCACTTCGCTGATTGAAGCTCGTTCCAGTCTTGGCAGTAGTCATATGCTCCTCCCGTGGTCGTGAGGTTGTTCCACTCAAACGCTTTCTTCAGCGGGCCACATGCGGTACTGGTGAAGCGTAAGTAACAGAGCTGGAGGCCGGATGTCCTATATGAGGCCTGGGGGCCGGATGCTCACCTCGTTATGCACGGGTTGCTACCCGCTGCTTCATTTCCAAAGTCGCCAAATAGACAGTAGGACATTGCATACCGGATGTTGTCTTGGACCTGCTATTAGTCTTCTGCCGTAGACAAGATATGGAAGAGGCCACTCACATGCCATCCACTGCAAATCTGTCTGTCCATTTGCAGAATAGTTGCTCCCGAGCTCGCATCGCGTGCATCCCGTGAAGACGGCGCCTGCAGACGTGGACGAGTACTGGCCCTCGTCGCAGACCAAATCATCACCGTGTGTGGCATCGAGGACATTGCCACAATTCTTTTCGCATGGAGATCCCCGAGCAACCAAGATGGCGTCAGACGACTTCAACAACGCAACCAAGGCGAACAATACCGCGGCGGTGCGCATCTTGGTAGTCGATGGAGGCGTTCAACCTCGTCCGTCGGTTTCGATTCGGCCGTCACCCTCGCGTACGGCTGAGAGAAGTGGTATGGCGGACTGGTGGCCGAGTATGTCTGCAGTTAAGCAGGTCACACAGCGAAGTCTCAGCTTCCTTCCAGTTGGCTATTGCATCTAGCTCGGTCTGACGATAGGAGGCAAGCTGGTAAGACAGACCAGGCGGCCATGCAACTATATAGCTCGTGGCGGTCTGCGACAGAGCATTAGCGAGTCCCGATGTGCTGGGACGGTGCGACCATTTCCTAAGCGCCGTAATGTTGTGTTGATGGCATCAATATTTGGGATGAGGGTACGCCTTTGTCTGAAGATGGTTTAAGAGAGGTTTCGGCAATGTGACAGTGACAGGAGAAGAGGTCGGAAGCGCGGAGGCTTTAGTTGAGTTCCCTCCCGGCTGCAAGTTCTACATGGCGCGCTCCCACACCAACAGCCCAGCACAGCAGAGCGACCAAGCAGAAGATCGGCGGCGGATTGGGGTCCGGAAAGGAATCGTCGACATGGAAGAGACCGACCCTACCGGCCATGGGTCAGCGTTGATGGGTGGCTGATCGCGGGGGCGTCTTCTGGGCCTTGAGATTGGCTCGCAGAGGTAGAAGCAGGGGGGTCCATCACGAGCTATCACTGTGCCATCGTCTGTGCTTGCTGGCCACGGGTGTGCGAGACTCTCCCAACTGGCGGACGGGAGCAGTGGGGAGCTGGCTTAGCTGGCCGCACAAGAGAGTGGCCTGCATTATGGTCCACCTTGATTGACCAATAATTTGATTGCATCTCTCTGCTGCCGCCGAGCCATCTGCAAGGACTCTCTGGGAGCCTTCACGCTATCTCATCTCCACACCAAGACATGGAAGGGACGAACCGTCCCCGGACCTTGATTGGATCATTGGCTCATTGCATACTGCGTATAGAGCGCTGAATCGGGTAAGGACCGGGAGGCATGGGTCGTTCTGTCATCACAAATCGTCAAGCCTTCGCCAACGCACACAACCCCTCCCATCACCACCACCAGCTGTGACGGTCATCCCTTCCCCGCCATGTGCCCACTCGGTGGCCGCCCATTCTGGCCGCGCTTAACGGCCCCCAAACTTGCATGTCATGCAGGTGAAGAAAGTCGTCTTTGGTGGAAGCCCCCTTCCGAATTCCTCTCAAGCAGTAAAATTCATCTCACGATCGAATCAGGGACTGTCAAGAGGTTCCCAACGGCACTGGAAGGGGATGCTGCATGTGTCACCGTCCTCCCTCTACCGATAGAAAAGGGGAAACTCTGGGCTCTTTGTACTTAGTACATGCGAAAAAAGGTTGGTCACCCTGAAGACATCCTCCTTGGTGACATGGAGACAATACTGGCGAGAACCTTAAATCAGGAAGCCTATACGTGTACTGTGAAGTCCGATACCTATGTGATTAATGCGTTCCAAGGATGGCTCATGCGCACCCTCTACAACCTGGGTCCATCTCATATCTCTCCCGGTCAACTGGGATACAACCTGGACAACGAGATAATCAAGCTTTTCTCCAACCGCCCTGCCCGGAAAGTCAAGACGGTTAAATGGGACTTCGCCGATGCGCTTACAGGTATGGAGTATATTAGAGCTGGTGCTGTTGGCAATCAATTTCTCCCTGGATCTGCATCGACACGCTTAAGCGAGTTCTGGCCTTGTTTTCTTTGCTCTGCACATTTCGCCAGAGCTCCCGCATTCGGCGTGGAGCGACGGCAAATAGTCGTGAGACTTTCCCTGAGGTAAGACCTAATGCCGTCGATGATGAGATGTTCACATTGTCTCTTTAAGCGCTCTGGGACCTCCACTGGACAGTGCTCGCTTCTCTACAAGACTATCGAGCTGTAGTTTGGCCTTGGCGCGTGCGACACAATAATGGCCATCATCTCGTCATGTTGGTGATAGAATACCACGTACCCCGGCGACTGATAACAACGGCGCTCCAGCTTGGGGCTCCACGAGCGGCAAGGGCCGATACCATGCAGACTGCAAGGCAGGCGTGAACAATAGTGAAGCGTTGGGTATGACCAGAAGCAGACTCTGATAGGTCACCAGCAACGCTGTTTGCGTCCAGGTCACGCAAGCTTATGTGTGTGACCAGATTACCACCCCGAATGGTAAGGCGAATGAGACAGCGTGTCTATTGAGAGCTACCTCGCGAAACGGGTCAACGCCAAACATGTTCCAGGAAAGTTTCCAATATACTCGTATATTCTCCCCGAAGGTTAGACCCTTCTAAGTGAAGCCGCAATCGAAAGCGCCTGTCCAGCTTACTACGTTCCTTTGATGCTCGAAACAGCGAAACTCACCGGCGGCCTTACCGGGCCCAGAAACCGTTTCCTCCTGACTGACTCCTAGTAATAAAGCACGGTCTACGTCGTAGATAATCAATAGAACCAGTTGTAAAAAAGAAAAGAAAAATCGCCCAGATCAAGACGGCGCCAGGCAATGCAATGGTGTGTTGCCTCCGTGTGCCAAAAGCCCCTACCGCCGTAACCCTAGTTGTGATACCACACCCCAACAAAGAGCCGACTCCGTCCCATGAACAGGG